GGAATTCACCCCAAATCTGGGAATGCACCGAAAATCCGGGAATTCACCCCAAAATCCCGGAATTCATCCCAAAAATCCCAAAAATTTGGGATAAAATAACAATAAATGAGTGTGTGTGTACTGGGATCATACTGGGATTGAACTGGGACATCCCTGACCCCAAAATCCCGGGAATTCACCCCAAATCTGGGAATGCACCGAAAATCCCGGAATTCATCCCAAAAATCCCGGAAATTTGGGATAAAATTACAATAAATGAGTGTGTGTGTGCTGGGATCATACTGGGATTGAACTGGGATCATACTGGGACCCCAGTGACCCCAAAATCCCGGGAATTCACCCCAAATCGGGAATGCACCGAAAATCCCGGAATTCATCCCAAAATCCTGGAATTCATCCCAAAAATCCCGGAAATTTAGGATAAAATAACAATAAATGAGCGTGTGTACTGGGATCATACTGGGATTGAACTGGGATGAACTGGGATGAACTGGGATTGACCTGGGATTGAACTGGGATGAACTGGGATGAACTGGGATGAACTGGGATGAACTGGGATTGACCTGGGATTGAACTGGGATGAACTGGGATGAACTGGGATTGAACTGGGATCAAACTGGGATTGAACTGGGATCAAACTGGGATTGAACTGGGACATCGCTGACCCCAAAATCCTGGGACCCTCAATGACCCTCGGTGACACTTGGGGACACTCAATGACCCTTGGGGACACTCGATGACCCCTGGGGACACTCAATGACCTTTGGGGACCCTCGATGACCCCTGGGGACACTCGGTGACCCTTGGGGACACTCAATGACCCTCAGTGACCCTTGGGGACCCTCAATGACCCCTGGGGACACTCAATGACCCCTGGGGACACTCAGTGACCCTTGGTGACCTTTGGGGACCCTCAATGACCCTCATTGACACTCGGTGACATTTGGGGACACTCTATCAGAACCGGTGACACCCGGTGACACCCGATGACACTCCGGTGACCCCCGGTGACATTCGGTGTCCCCGAGGGTCACACGGACACGGAGCCCTGCCGGAAGTCGCTGGGGCCCAGCAGGGCGTTGACGAGGACGGGGTGG